CTCTTTGTTCATGAAAATCCGCCATTCCGAAATCGCAGGAGGGTCGGTGTAATGCACTACCAAAACGCCCGTTAACTAAGAAACAAATGCTAATTCGATGATGCCGGCTGGCACACTGATTCACTATGAATGTAGGCCGCACCCCCTAGCGGCAGAAGCTCGTACTACATCCGGTTCGCCCTCTATTGACACAGTCTTAAAACTTTCCGATCGCACCTCGTAGGTCGGTTAAAAGAGGTACCACTGTATTATAGGACTTTTTCCTCAAAATGACTCATGTAATAACATCCTGAATTTTGGCACAAATTTCATGGAACACCCAGCAGACATGTTAAATATAAGGAAAAGAAGGGATTTAATCAGAGGGACATACTGATCCACAATTTCTTAATTAAGAAGTCTTACAAAATAAAAACAAAAGGTGAGATAGTAGTTAGAAGAAAACTACATCATGATGAATTAATTGCCTGCACTCTAACTCACTGTATATTCAAGACAAATTATAACCATAAATGCCCATTACTTGAATTCTGATTGTTATTTCCAACTAGGGAATGTATTGGGGTTTATAATTAATTGATAAAGAGGCCAGTTAGAAAACGTAAGTATACTTCTGAGTTTTGGAATTATAGACTGCTTCGGAAAGGCTGTCTAAAAAAGTTTATGTTAGCACTCAGCAAGAGTTTGTAATCACTTTAACCCCTTCCCTGATAGTTTCTCTTCTGACCATATGATCCAAAAACTTAGTCATACTGTACAAAATGTTTATATAATAGTAATGAACATTATCCAAAGTTATTTTTGGTCACTTTCCAATATTTTAAAAATTAACTTCTTTACAATCAAAGCATGCAAATGACATTGCAGCTAGCACAGTAACCTATGACACATGCCACAGTCCTAATATATGTGAGCAATCTAGTGTAAAATTATTTCAACACACGCTGCTTATGAAAGTATAGCAGTCTATTATTTACTGACATCTGGAGTCTGATAAACATATTTTCTTAGCATCCCAAATAAAGTCAGTTTAGTAGTAATAGGAAGGAAGAAAAAATATTGTCCCAAATTCAATTTTTTTTAAATCAAAATGAAATGTCCCAGGGAAGCAGTCGAACAACTAGTCCACATCTGATTGTTTTAAAACTGTCTTATTAGGTTTTTAATGTAAACTGAGTGAAGAAGCCATTAATTTCATTGTTCACTATTATCATGAGCCCTCTTAGTGAACATGTATTTTCCAGGATTTTCTGTATAATTATTTTGTATTATTAATGTGGACAACACTAACAAACAAAACAAACCTGAGGTAATTCTCATAGTTGTATCCTGATTTTTGTCTAGTGCTGATATCAAAC